AAAAAAATAAGCTGGACATGGTGGTGTGCACCTGTAGTCCCAGCTACTCAGGAGGCTGAGGCAAGAGAACCCCTTGAACCTGGGCAGCAGAGATTGGCAGTGAGCTGAGATAGTGCCACTGCACTCCAGCCTGGGTGACAGCACAAGAACTCCATCTCTAGTAAAAAAGAAAAAGAAATTAGTTCTGTTGTTAGAGTGATTATAACTGTTGAAAACTTCTAGTCACCTCTCTTTGAGAACATTGGGTTTTTAAAAATAAATAAAACATCCTTTGGAATTTACTAGACACCTGTGATTGTATTTCTAAATTGCCCCAGTGTAGCCATGCATGATCTGCATCATATCAGGGAGCCACTTCAAAGAACTTACCCTATACCTAAGTTTTTAAAGGTTATTTTTTTCTGTTCTAGAATAATCCCTTGCTTCACATTTCTCTCTTCCTTCTCCTGTTACTTTTCTCCTCTGTGTATCAACTATAACTTTGTTCCTTTTTCTCTGTGTAGTACATAGACAAAGCACTTTTCATTTTTTATTGAATAGAGTTTTGTGTAATTAACTTTAAAACTGAGCTACTAAAACTTTCTTTTAATTTTTCTCTTTTTAAGCAAAGACAGTGCTTATAGTTGTCAGTCATGACCTTGTCCTCTCTATTAATGAAAATTTGTTTACATTTAATAAGACAGTTATATTCTCTTGAAGACTTCCTATCAGAACTGTAGTCAGTCTTAAGTATCTGAGGCCTCACTTGATCCATGGCTCGACTATTCCTTTGACAGTCTTTAACTCCCTGTCATAGCTGGGGTTAAGATGACTTCATCCTTTCTACCATATATCTTTCTTCTTTAACCTTTCTCCTTGGAAATCTAGTGAGATCTTATAAGCTCATGTCTGCATTGTTGACCTGTTGTTATATATATGTGTGACATATTCTTTTTCCCTGCTAGTTTGTAATTGTTTTTTTTCTTCCTGGAGTTATAATCTAAGTTTGTTATATTTAGAATTATTGTGTCTATATTTAGCAAAGGGTGATTTTCTTCTATATTTCTCTGCCCGCCCCCCCCCCTTTATTTTTAGATGTCTGTGGTTTGTTCTGGAAATATTAATGGCGAAAAACGAAAATAACAGTCACGCATTTATCAGAAAGATGGTAGAAAATATTAAACAAACAAAAGATGCCCAAGGACCAGATGATGCAAAAATGAATGAAGTATGTAATTCTTTGTAAATGATTATGGTTCCATGTTGATTTTCAAATATAGGTGTAAGGTATGAAACTTCTGTAGTATTTATAGACAGCATCAGATTTTTCTATTAGTAATTAGAAATTAAAATTACTAACATAGAATTAGCAGTAATTTTATTACTAGTAAATGAACAAAACCAATAGTGTAAGCTAAAATGCTTACACAGACTATTGCTTTGATTAGTTTACTGTTTAGACTGGATTCATGTTCTAAAATTATTCCTAGTTTACAGAGTCTAGATTGCTATCTTAAGTATCTGTTTTTTAAAAAAATACTATTGCAGAAATTGTACACCGTGTGTGATGTTGCCATGAATATCATCATGTCAAAGAGTACCACATACAGTTTGGAATCTCCTAAAGACCCAGTTCTACCAGCTCGTTTTTTCACTCAACCTGACAAGGTAATTACTTTACAGTTTGTTTTTGTAAGTTGAAATAAAGTGTATTCTCAGCGCTGGGTTGCAGGAAGACCAGGAAGGATCATGGAAAGATTGTTGTGAGTCTTAAGAATGTGATTTAAGATCAGAACTAGAATATGAGTCAAACTGGAGGACACACTTAAGGTTCAGCTATTAGGATGATCTAGTGTTTATGTTCAGTTTTAAGACAGTCTTAGAGCACAGGCAGAAATGTGATCAAAGCATGTGAATTTGCGAATTAATGGCCATTTTTCAAAATGTGAAGGAGAGTGCTGATAGAGTTACAGTCTGAAGTTAAAAGCCCTTTATTGGGATTTATCATTGGTTTGAGGAAACAAGCAGAGAACAGACACTGGAACATGCCTAAGACCCTGGGAATACTACAGGAGTATTATTCCCACTTTCCAAAAAACTCAAGTGTGATATGAGATGTAAAAAATATTTTTCACAATCCCTCTTACTCCCTCATTATTTATTTATTTAATTCCTCATAATTTAGCTGAGCATATTGAGTAACAGAGTCTGGAAATGACCACTCTCCTCTTTTTGCTTTTAAATCAAAATGTCAGTTAAGACCTTACTAGTGTATAGAGATTTGGAACAGCCCCATAGGATTGCTCTAACATGTTAGAGCTCAAATTTGTTTTGTTAATATTAGAGTTGGCATGAAGTTAGTTTAAGCTTATTACAGTAGTTAAAATCAGTGACTGAAATTTTGTGTTTCAAATGATAATTTAGTTTAAATTTAAAAATTGTTCTTTGCTTTGTTGGCTTTTGAACCACTTCATACATAGTGTTTTAATATCCACTGACTACTACTTTTTCTCTTGCTTGTAGAATTTCAGTAACACCAAAAATTATCTGCCTCCTGAAATGAAATCATTTTTCACTCCTGGAAAAGTATGTTTGGAGAATCATTTTAATTTTTATGTGATAGCTTATTTTAGTGTGATTATTGGCAGAATTGTGTTATTTTGTATTTCTTCAAAGATTTGTATATTCAAACTAGAAAATATAAGTATTATATTCCATTTGCTAGTAAGAAATAATTATATTTACTAGATATATGCAAGCTGAAATACACAAACTTATTTTTTAGCTTGTAATAAAGTCCCAGGAGACCTGATTCTTAGACTTCTTAGGCTAATGTCAAGATGAAAAGTCTAAAAATAAAAAGAATCTTCTTATGTCTTTCCATGGCAAGTCTAATGATCTGTTTTTATTGTTGATTATTCATTTCATTTGTTCTCTGTGTAAGCCATTTTCTCCAAATAACTAAGAAATTCTACTGTTATGCTATCTGTATCGTTTTTAATTTGTTAAAGTGATATTCAGTTTATACTTATTTTGCTTAAGGTAGACACATTTTTCATGATTTGTAAGTAAATACTTTGATAGAGATGTTATTTATGGTTCTTTACACGTAGCTTTCTTTTGGCTTTAACCAAATAAAAAGAGATGTGCATTTCTCATTTCAGCCTAAAACAACCAATGTTCTGGGAGCTGTTAATAAGCCACTTTCATCAGCAGGCAAACAATCTCAGACCAAATCATCACGAATGGAAACTGTAAGCAATGCAAGCAGCAGCTCAAATCCAAGCTCTCCTGGAAGAATAAAGGGGAGGTAAGTGCAGAAGAAATGCCATAATTTACATTTAAGGATTCCAGCAAAGCTGTGAGATCTGAAATAACATAATCCAAAATGTTTCATGTCAGTAAGTGGAAAATAATACATTACTTAATTTTTCCATTTAACATTGGTAGTCAAAAGTTCATATTCATTTGCTTGCTTATATTGGGTGGGTGCTCCATCTTAGCCTTTCATTCTTTAGCTTGTTGGGGGTAATTTGTGTTAGTACACATAAAGTAGTTTCCAATCTCAGAGTATAGCAATTGTAAGACTGTTATAATGTAGCTATGCAATGGAATACATAGTCATTAAAAATGATGAGGTCTGAGTTAGCATGGAAGAGTTTCCATAGTATATTATTGAGTGAAAAAGGCAGAGTATATAAAACAGCATTATGGACTCTTAAGTTTTGAAAGCAGTTTTATATTAACATTTGTTTTCATATGCATAGAAAGTTTTTTGAAGAATATACAAAATCTTAACAGTGTTTATGTTAACCTAGTATAGAAGGGAGGTTATTTTATACTTTTTGATATCATTTGATTTCTTTCTATAGTACCGTGTACATGTATAAACTTTTTTGTTTTAAAAGCGTGTTTTTGCTTTTTGGGGTTTTAAAAATTTGACTTTTATTTTAGATGCAGAGGGTACATGTGCAGGTTTGTTACATGGGTATATTGCATCCAGGTATTGAGTATAGTACCCAGTAGGTAGTTTTTCAGCCCACATCCTCCTTTTTCTACCCCCCCCCCCACCAAGTATTCCTTAGTGTCTATCGTTCCCATGTGTATGTCCATTTGTGCTCAATGTTCCCTCCCACTTATAAGTGAGAACATACAGTATTTGGTTTGCTGTTCGTGTGTTAATTTGCTTTGGACTTGGACTCCTTGCCGTGAAGTACATGATTTCATCCTTTTTTATGGCTGCATAGTATTCTATGGTATATGTGAACTTCATTTTCTTTATCCAATCCACCATTGATGGGCACCTAGGTTGATTCCATATCTTTGATATTGTGCTGCATTAAACAAATGAGTGCATGTGCCTATTTGGTATAATGATCTATTTGCATTTGGGAATATAACCAGTAATGGAATTGCTGGGTCAAATTGTAGTTCTGGTTTAGGTTCTTTGAGAAGTCTCCAAACCGTTTTCCACAGTGGCTGAACTAATTCACATTCCCACCAACTATGTATAAGCATTCTGTTTTCTCTGCAGTCTCACCAGCATCTGTTGTTTTTTAGGCTTTTTAGTAATAGCCATTCTGACTGATGTGAGATGGTATCTCATTGTGGTTTTGATTTGTATTTCTGTGATGATCAGTGATGATGAGCGTTTTTTCATGGGTAGCCATTTGTATGTCTTCTTTTGAGAAGTGTCTGTTTGTGTCCTTTGCTCATTTAGTTTTTAAAATGATTCTTCTTTGAGAAAAAAATAAAAGGAAAGTTAATTCATCCTTTCACTCATTTTAGCATAAGTGCTTAGGGTACATTTGCTAGCACAGAGCATTGTATAGGGCTAAACTGCCACTATTTATTGATTTTTGCCAAGTTATTAAAAGACTAGGCTGTGTTTTTCACTGTTCATAACCAATCAGTGAAGAAGATAGGTGATATTTTAAAATCTTACTAAATTTCTTATAATGAATTAATTGTTGAATGATATATAGTATGATAGAAATGGAAGAAATTGCATTTATAACTTTTGTTTGTTCTAGATTCCTGTATTACTGCACATTAGTGGCTAATACCTAAGTGACTCTTTAGTTATATCAGTTGGACGTTTTCTAGCAAGTGGCCTCAAAATTAACATGACCAGAAATATTTCCATCAACTCATTTTCTAAATTACTGGCTTTTCTCCTTGAATTCTTGGTTATAATCAAAGATGATCTGATTCACCCAGTCAGCTAGGCAAAAAGCCTCAGAATTGTGTTTGACTCTTCTTCCCTCTATATTTGTTCAGTTGCTAAGTTTTGCTAACTCTTTTCTGCGCAATGTTTTGTGCTTCTCTTTTACTGTCATCATTTAGTTCATTTCCTTTCTTTAATTATCCTTGTTATTTGACTAGTTTCCTTCCTTATTATCTCAACTGTGTATGTTGTATCACTGCTAGATAATCTTTTAAAAATACTACTGTTGTGATGTTATTTTTTTGCTCAGAGATCTTAATTGGCTTCTATTGTTTGCTTTCAAGACAATATAGTTTTACCCTCTCCTTATCATCAATTTGTTATTCAACACAAAAGTTTCCTAATTTATACTTTTTCAATATAGTTTTCTTTAAACTTTTAACTTTTGACCAATCTGTTCTGTTACTTTTTTTCTTCCAAATTCCTTCAGTTCAGTGGGACTGTTTCCAGGGGAATAAAGTAGGTATGTTTGAGAAACCTGTTTGGTTGGAGAATAAAGGAAAAGTTATCAGAGGAAGTTGAGAGGTAGCCAGATTATGTCTGGACTTTGTGAATCATCATAAGGAATTTGGGTTTGATTTTAAAAGCAACTGGAAGATTTGCCAGGGAGTCTAGCAGTCTAATTTGTGGTGTTTTAAAAAAATTGCCCTGATGATTTGTGCAGAATGTACTATAGAGGAGCTAGAATTGAGATAGAAAAACCAGTTAGGGGTCAGCAAATTCTAATATATGACAGGGACGAAGAGGGAAGAAGATGGTAAATGTCAAATTCCAGATTTTTTTTTAAAGAGTAGTCAAGTGTAGTAGTGAGAAGGAGGAAAGAGTTGAACAAGGAGTTTGATGTGTAACTAACTGTGAACAATCTAACTAACTGTAAACAATCAGCTGAGAATAACTACCTTTAGACCAGCCTCAGATTTATTTTGATGTTAGATGGAAATGATCTTGCTTATGGATCAGATGTGAACAGTTAGGGAAAGGGAGGATTTAAGAGTGTATCTTGGGCTTTTTACCTGAATAACTGGAGAGATGGTGGTACCTTTTACTGAGGTACAGAAGCCTTGAGGAAGAACAGGCTGTGTTTGTATGTGTGCGTTTTGGGGAGGTGGGAATAAGAAGAGTGTTCAGCTAACTGTTTTGGCTACATTAAAGATCAGTTGCCTGTTAGAATTTCATGTGAGGTGTTGAGTAGACAATTGGATATGTGAGTTTAGAACTCAGAGTAAGCCGGACTGGAGATTGAGATTTAGAGTTCAGCAATGTATGATTAGTTTTAAAAGCTAGATAAAGATGAGACCACCCAGGACAGAAGCCTGGACCTTTATATGAATGCCTACTCTATGCCTGACACTGATTCAGGTGCTTGGCATACATTGGTAAGTAAAATTGACAAAGATTCATGCTTATATTGTAACAGGGGAAGGCAGTCAGTAAGTAATAAATGTAATAATTATAGTGTGTTGGGGTGTTAAATGCTACAGAGAGAAGAAAAAATAGAATAGGGTAAGGGACCAGGGCAGGTTGCAGTATAGACTAGTCTAAATAGAATTTAGGTTTTAAAAAGACTTAGAAAAAAACTAGATTTAAATTTGTGTTGTTTTAAATTTTCTCACAATATTAAATTAAATGAGCTTCATTGCTTGTTGAGTTGGTATTAAATATAGTAGAATAAAACTGGTTCATTTTTGAAAAGAATGAAACTTTGCCACAAATCTGTAAAACTACACTAGGAATAGAAAAAGCTTTTAAGGTTATTTGATTATAATAACATTACAAATGTCTGTATTAAAAGGCTTGATAGTTCTGAAATGGATCACAGTGAAAATGAAGATTACACAATGTCTTCACCTTTGCCGGGGAAAAAAAGTGACAAGAGAGACGACTCTGATCTTGTAAGGGTGAGATATTTGCATTGATTTGATAATAATATTAATAATAATTTTACTTTGTAAATAGTAATGTTTACACTGAAACCAGTTAACATGACTATCAAATTTGACATTTGATTTTATTTTAGTGGTTTTAATCACAAACTTCAGTTTACAATTACCCTCTACTATGTAATTTAAGTATATTGAATCTGTGCTTCTTGTCATTGTAATAAGTAATCTCAATTCTTCAGGCTTTTGGTATTAGGCTTGCCAGTTGTGTACTCAGCTTCTTGGTGTTTTTTTTGTTTTCCTCCTTTGCTTGGGGTTTCGTCGTTGTTATTTTTTTACATAGTATATTTAGACTTAGCCATAGACAAGGGGAATGGAATGAAGATCCTTAAAGGTTCTTTCATTTATTTCCTGAGCCTTTACTAAATAAGCTGCTATTAAAGGTAGAAAATGCTGTAGTTCTTGTAAAGTCCTTATTCAGTTTTTAAATCTTAATAGAAATGATAAAATGATAACTTGCATGATAGACACAGTTTGTAAGTGTTATTTTAAGACAAGTTTGCTAAAGTTTTAGTATAGTCACAAAACACAGTTATGTCTTCCAACACAGCCCAATGGACTTAACTGGGTTCATTTTGACTTTACTTCAGCTTCAGATCATTTCCTTCGTAACTAATTAGGCTATCAGAATCAGTTTTCTTGTTTGTATGTAAACTATGGATACTTAGCTGGAAAGCTTTATCAGAAAAGTGGCTTAGCCCAAATGAATTGTTGCTGCTGTTTATTGTTAGGACTTTTGATTATGGTTATCATAATAAGAAAAGTTAAAATGTTTGAATCTACTTTAATAGAGGTGAGAGGTTATCACTAAAATTATTACTTTTATTTTCTCTGAAATATTACTGCCTGTCTTGTCTCCCACTGGCCCAACATTACATATGCTAAGAAGTTTATTTTCTCTAGTAACTTATTTTGGCAGAGTGTTTGTTTCCACTGGGAATTATTATTATTATTATTATTATTATTATTGACATGGAGTCTTGCTCTGTCACCCAGGCTGGAGTGCAGTGGCGCGATCTTGGCTCACTACAATCTCCTCATCCTGGGTTCAAGTGATTCTCCTGCCTCAGCCTCCTGGGTAGCTGGGACCACAGATGTGCACCAGAATGTGGGCTAATTTTTGTAGTTTTAGTAGAGATGGGGTTTCACCATGTTGGCCAGGCTGGTCTCAAGCACCTGGCGTCAGGTGATCCGCCTGCCTTGGCCTCCCAGAGTGCCAGGATTACAGGCTTGAGGCACTGCGCCCGGCCAAGAAATAATTATTCTAAAATCTTTTTAAATTCTCACTGTGTATACTGTAAGTTATGATGTTTATTGGCAGTTTAAAAATTTCATATGAGTAAAATTAAGAATTGATCACTTAGCCTGAAAAGAATCTTGTTATCTGGATTTACAGAAGAAAAATCCTTGAATTGGAAAAGATATTTCTGTCTTCTAGTCCTAGTTCTCACTTAGTGCAGAAATTCCTTTAATATCATTTATGAGAGCTGGTCACCACGCGCTTGAAAATGCCTTAAGTGGAGAGCTCATGATGTATTCTATTTGTTGGAAAAGTCAACTAGGCCATTCATACCCACATCCTTAGTGTACTACACTCATACCCACGTGGTATTTCCACCCCCTAAAAGTTGGGAAACCTGGTTTTTATTAATTCTTAATATTCTGTTATCCTATAAATTTGACATCTATGTCTACTTTTTGGAATAGCGCAGAGCAAAGTCTACTCTGTTCTTCAAAGAACCGTTTTGAATTTTTGAGCTCTTCAGATCTATTGGTATAACTGTAATGGAGGCCTTTTGCTATCTGTTGTGGTATGTATAGTGTGTAACAGTAGGTCCAGTTTTGGAGGTACTAGAAGAACCTTATTAATAAGCTAATTTTGACGGAAGTGCCCTCAAAGAGATGAGCATTATGAGACACAAAGTGAATTTAAAGACCAGTAGATTATAATGAAAGAACATGGTCTCATTTGCTTGTTACCAGCTTCACATTGAAATTTCACAGCACAGGAATTATTTTCCATATACATTTGTATTTAAATATTTAGCTTTATAACATATTTTCCCTATCTTTTGCTTCTCACCTCAATTTTATACTCCCTCTATTCTTAACAGTGCAATGCAAAATAAAAAAGAAATGAGAGGTAGTGGTGCTTTAGGAAGCTAGATTAATATTGTCAAGAAAGAGGACATTGGGTTTTTTACCACCAACCTTTTCCAAAGCATAAAGGAAATCATCTACCTTTTTAGATCTTTGGACATCAAAAAGAATTGTAGCAATTAAAATAAGAAGTGACATTTTAAATTTAGTTTTAATGTAACATTTATTTTGCCTTCTCATCTTTGAGTAACAATAGTTAATTTTTAATTTTTGCACAAAATTCTTAAGTAAATAAACTAAATCCAGTCATGTGTAGATATTCCCCTCCCTAGAATGTAAGGAGAGCTTAATGTTACCAGTCTTTTAATATAATAATAAATAGATAAACAAAGGGAAAACTAAAACAAAATAATTTCAGATCATGCCAAGAGGACATAAATAAAACTTAAAATTCATTCTTGACAAATACGTACTTTTAGTAAACTAGTACCAGAAGGATACTTCTTTAACGTGCTAAAAGTTTTGTCTGTTTTAAATCAGTAGTCAGTGCCTTTCTTCTTAAAGGCAAAATACTTGAAGCATTCTTTTAAAAAATCAGGAACAAAACTAGCAGCCTGCTGTCACCACTGTTTTTTAAAAAATTTTTCTAAAATGTTTGACCAATTGTTATTTTTGTAATCTTAGGAAAATAAAAGAAGCCATTGAAAATCTATCCCTATGTATATATATTTATAACTAACATTACTCTGATAATTTTGCATTGCATCAGATGTACATTTAGGGGAGAAGGGATTTTTTTTTTCATTACAAGAACCACTGCAACAACAGACTTAGGTAGATTGATAGATTCATAGATTTAAATATAACCTTAACAAGAAATAGGGAGGACCTGTATGTAGAAAAATCTCAAAACTGGAAGACTTGAAGAAAGAGAAGACAGGCCACGTTCCTGTATGGGAAAAAGGAATAAAAAAGGATGACAGTTTTTTCCAAGTGAATATATAATTGTAAATTCCAGTGTGTAATTCCAGTGTGATTTTGTTGCAAGTCTATGTGGAGGAATAAATAGATATAAAAGGAGGAAAAATAAAGGTAGGATCAGCCCTACCAGACACATAGTTATACTTAGTAAAAGATTGTGCTTCTATTATAATAGCCTACAAATATTTTGCTTTTTTAAAACATACAAAATGAAGCATTACAAGTCAACCATTCTGAAATGGTTGGATGTGTCTTTGGGAGTGGAGAATCCAGTTTAGAATCTCATCTCACATTCTATTCTAGAACAATACACAATAATGTCTTAGTCAGCTCAGGCTGCCATCATAAAATACCACAGACTGGGTAGCTTAAAAAACAGAAATGCATTTTCTTACCATTCTGGAGGCTAGAAGTACAAGATCAAGGTGCCAGCAGATTTGATTCCTGATGAGGGCTCTCTTCCTTGGTTACAGTTGGCCACCTTCTCACTGTGTTCTCACAGGGGAGATGTGGGGTGAGGGGAAGAAGAAAGGCACCCAAGCTCTCTGATGTTTCTTCTTATAAGGACACTAATCTCATCATGATGGTTCCACCCTGGTCTCATGATCTTATCTCAACCAAATACCTCCCAAAGGCCCCATCTCCAAATACACTGGGATTAGAGCTTCAGCATACAAATTTTTTCTGGTGGTGGTGGCCACAATTCAGTCCATAGCAAATAAGTAACCCTTAAAGGCCAGGCGCAATGATGCCTGTAATCCCAGCACTTTGGGAGTTCAAGGCAGGTAGATTATCTGAGGTCAGGAGTTTGAGACCAGCCTGGCCAACATGGTGAAACCCATCTTTGCTAAAAATACAAAAATTAGCTGGGTGTGGTGGCACGCGCCTGTAGTCCTGGCTACTCAGGAGGCTGAGGCAGGAGAAGGCTTGCAGTGAGCCGAGATTGCACCACTGCACTCCAGCCTGGGTGACAGAGAGAGACTCCATCTCAAATATTAGTAGTACTAATAATAATGATGATGAAGTAACACTTAAAAATAAGCGTAGAAGCATACACAAAAGCATAGATGAATATAGAGAAAACCCACTTAACACCCCAGTAATCAAAGCTGGCAAAGGACACAATACCAAGGATGTTATTAGGCAGTTCACACACAGGAAACTCAATTTAAAGTTAGAAAAAGTTACAGATAATTTGATAGTTTTTGTTTTTCTTTCCAGTGATTTTTGAAAATACAAATTGCTACAGACTTTTTGGAAATTAACTTTGTATCATAAGTGTTGAAACATAAAATTTATTCTTGGGTCTTTGGAGAATTCTAGAATTTATTTTGAATAAATTCTCTGAGTATAGACTAGGATTTTACTTTAAATGTGAAAGCCACTGTATTTTTGTTGTTTCTGTTGTTAATCAGTTATAACTAAAATAGTTACAGTTCTGGTGTATTTAAGAGCTGTATACTTGAGGTACATGTTTAGGACAAGAGTAGATACCAGATTTTTTTTTGTTTCATTCCTCAAAATATGTACACTCACAGCTTCATAAACATAAATTGTGATTTTTTTTTCCCCTAGTCTGAATTGGAGAAACCTCGAAGCAGGAAGAAAACACCCGCCACAGAACAGGAGGAGAAATTAGGTATGGATGACTTAACTAAGTTGGTACAGGAACAGAAACCTAAAGGCAATCAGCGAGGTCGGAAAAGAGGCCATACAGCTTCAGAATCTGATGAACAGCAGTGGCCTGAGGAAAAGAGGCTCAAAGAAGATATATTAGAAAATGAGGATGAACAGAATAGTCCACCAAAAAAGGGTAAGAGAGGCCGACCACCAAAACCTCTTGGTGGAGGTACACCAAAAGAAGAGCCAATAATGAAAACTTCTAAAAAAGGAAGCAAAAAAAAATCTGGACCTCCAGCAACAGAGGAGGAAGAAGAAGAAGAAAGACAAAGTGGAAATACAGAACAGAAGTCCAAAAGCAAACAGCACCGAGCGTCAAGGAGAGCACAGCAGAGGTAAACATGTGTAACTCTAAACTGCATCTATTTCGTTACTATATTATAAATCATAATTTGATGCTATCCACATTTGGGTCTTCCCCAAAGCAGAGCAGAATCTCCTGAATCTAGTGCAATTGAATCCACACAATCCACCCCACAGAAAGGACGAGGAAGACCATCAAAAACGCCATCACCATCACAACCAAAAAAAAATGTGTAAGTTGTAAATATTAAATTTCAAACCAATTTCAAATTATTTTGCAAAAGTTCCTAAATTTATAAACATACATACTGCTGTATTTAAATTCCATATACTTAAACCCATTACACTAGGTAAGATAAAATTTTTATAAACTTACCTTGGTGATTGATACCCCAATGAACTATTTTGTACATTTTTATAGGTGTAGGCAAATCTTTATAAATGAATAACAAATAGTTTATTTCCTATACAGACTTGATGATATCTAAAGAAATGATAAGGCATTAAAAAAAAAAAAATCACCACACATTGACCAGGTTGCCTCATCATTCCATGCTATAATTTTTAAAAAATGTTTCTCATTAGCACCTTTTCCTTTAAAAAAAGAAAACAGGTCTTACGCTTCTGCTTTTGTTCTTTGAACTTGTAGGAAAGTAACAGGTACCATTTTTCCTAAACTGTATCCATAGAAATTATCACATGTTGGTCTCAAGTGTTGGTCTCAAGTGTTTGACATGTTGGTCTCAAGGTTTTGTTTTCTAATCAAATTCATTTATCTATATCAACATGTATATAGTTTTAGATGTTCACACAAACACAATTATAAGAGAGGTATAGTAACAATCTTTACCCCAAATTTTAAGGTCACAAGAGAATCAGTGCTATAATTTGTGGATTTGACAGCATTTTTTCTCCTTAGTTATGTCTTCTATTTCTCGGAAATTTAGCATACTTTTTCTGAGCATATTCCCACCCATACATAATTACATCAGTGGCCCGACTTTTCAGAGTTACCAACATACTGTCCTTAAATACTCAATTATCTTAGAGATTTTCCTATTCCTGTGTATTCCACAGGAAGAGGAAAAGTTGCCTGGGTGTCTAGCCAGTACTTCATGCCATCTTCCATGTAATTTTTCTGTCAGGTTAAAAGTAAAGGTAAGTACATTTTTGTGGCAGCTTTATGACTGTGTTTGGATTCAACCAAAGGAAATCACTATTTCTAAACAAAAGATTCTTAAGGAATCCTTTATTTAATAAAATATACATGATGTAACAATGAAATAACAAACCTCATAACTTTAGTTTGTTTATATTTGAACATGATAAAATTCAGGGTTTAAATGGTTATTGTGTTCTCCTAAAATTACACAAATCCTCCTATGAAAGTTCTAAACCAAACAAGTATTGCTTTAAAAAAAAAAAAAAAAGCAAAAATCAGTACAGAAGAAGATTCTGAAGTCTGTCTTGGAAGCCTGTCTTCCTTTCACTGGGAAGCTCTTTTTAGAGCTAGTATGATAACATATATTAGGATTTGTCTCTTTATCTTGTTCTGACCTCAATGAAATTGAAAAAGATTGTCATTATTTTTCATGTAATTTCTATAGTTTCATTAATCCTGAAAAACCAAACCAAGTAAAAAACATTGTTTGGTTTGAGCATGAGTTAAATAATACATATTTTGGATTGCTTATAGAAGTGATAAGTTACATTTCAAATTTAAAAATAAATATTTTTCAAGAGGGATCCATTTGACTCGATGGTTCCATTACATATTTTTGATGCCTCCTGTGTTTCAGAGAGTAGCAGGTGCTAGGGACACAAAACAGACATGGTTCTTGTCTTCCACTGTCTAATGGAGTGAGGAGGTAACTCCAAACAACTTCAAAGAGTTGTTACTTTTTGAAAGTAACAATGAATTGATATCTTGAGAATAGTACGGGTCAGACAGAAAGAGAACAGTTGGCAAGAACACTGTATTTGAATTTTCTGAAGTGAGAAAAATCTTGGCAAAATCAGAAAGCTAAAGGAAGGCAAGAGTTTGCTGGATTGTAGTTGTGGGGACTTAGGGACCAGAAAGGGATGAGAATGAACAAGTAGGCAAGGACCATCTACTGATCCTTGTATACTGTGTTAAGGAGATTTACAAGATTATTCTTACTGTAGTGGTAGTAAAATCGTCTATTCTTCTATTTTTAAAGATAACTTTGTAAAGAGAAGATGTAAGAGATGGGAATGGTTTGAATTAGTTGGTAGCAATGGAGATGTGGAGAGAAGTGAATCGATTTGAGCTGTCTTTAAGAATCTGTCAGGCCAGACAAAGACTGGTACACTATATTCAAATTAGAATTCCTTTTTGCTTTGAGCAGCTCATTAGACATTGATGCCTTTTACTGCCTTAGGAAAGATGGAAAGGAAAAGCAACTTTGAGTTGTGTTTTGCATTCCTTTATGGGAAGGTCTCAGTTACAGTTTTTGTTGTTGTTGTTGTTACTTGGTAGATAATTTGTGAAATTCTATGATTAAACGTTGGTTTAGGATTCAGAATATTAAGAAATTTTCTTGTCTCATAAGGTATTGAGGGTAAACATGATGACAGTTGATGAAATACTTGAAGCATTTCTTCTAATGAGGTAATCTACTGAAAGATTGGAACGTTCATTGTATTTTATGTGTGTTTTACTCTAGCCGTGTAGGACGCTCCAAACAAGCAGCTACTAAGGAAAATGATTCAAGTGAAGAAGTAGATGTGTTTCAGGGTAGCTCTCCTGTCAATGATGATATTCCACAGGAAGAAACAGAGGAAGAGGAAATTTCCACAGTAAATGTATGTGTTTAAAGTCTCTGTGAGTGGTGTGGAATATAAAAATAGAGTTGGGCTCACACCTGTAATCCCAGCATTTTGGGAGGCTGAGGCGGGCGGATCATCTCAGGCCAGGAGTTCGAGACCAGTACGGCCAGCATGGTGAAACCCCATCTTTACTAAAAATACAAAAAATAGCCAGGCATAGTGGTGTGTGCCTGCAGTCCCAGCTACCTAGGAGGCTGAGGCAGGAGAAACGCTGGAACCCGTCAGGCAGAGGCTGCTGTGAGCCGAGATTGTGTCACCGCACTCTAGCGTGGGTGACGGAGCAAGACTCCATCTTAAAAAAACAAAAAAAACAACTTTTTTTGAGTTGGTAAATATTTGGTTAGATCATTTAGCACTTGTTGTTTGTTATAATTGTAAGTATTTGTATATTTTTCTTCATTAATTTATAGCATTATTTTATCTACCAGCTTAGATAATGGAGAACATCTTTTATGGAAACCTAAACTAAATGAATAGGTGTAGCTTAGTGAGAATGTACATGTTAAGTATGAACTGAATGTGAAGCATTCCAATATTGACACTTTAAACATTTAAGTTGTACCTTGATTTTAGGGTACTGATAACTGTATACCATTGTTTATATTTTGCAACTCTGTTCCATATTTCTATTGGGGTTTCATAATAGAAATTACAAGTCAGTTACACAGAATAAAATCAGCCTTTGGAATTGAAGTATGAGCTGAATGAGAATCCATAAAATTGGTAATACATACTTACTTTGCAAAAGTAGGGATGTGTTACTTCCTGACTTTTTAAAAAAAGTTTTTGTTTTTGAGACAGAGTCTCACTCTCACCCAGGCTGGAGTGCAGTGGCGAACGATCTGCTCTCACTGCAACCTCCATCTCCCACATTCAAGCAATTCTCCTGCCTCAGCCTCCCGAGTAGCTGGGATTACAGGCCATTGCCACCACATCTGGCTAATTTTTATTAGAGACCGGGTCTTACCATGTTGGTCAGGCTCGAACTCCTGACCTCAGGTGATCTGCCTGCTGGGCCTCCCAAAGTGCAGGCATGAACCACTGCACCCGGCCCTTCCTGACTTTTAAAATAATAAACAAATAAATAACTTTACCAGTTAATACAACTCAGATAGTTCTCTTAGGAAAAAATATAATACATTTAAGTAGGAGCTCCTCTTTTGGTGTACTAATGCTGAACTTTTAGATCTGCTTAGCCAGCCATCTTTGTTTGAGAAACCCAAGCTCTGTAATCAAGTCTCAGAATTGGTCTCTGCTGTTCTGTCCTATTTAATGGAATCAGAACTCCTGTCTGTACCAGGATTCATTTTTGTGAGTGAGTAAATTAAGTAAACAGGAAAAAATGCTCAATTGTGGTCTCAAATTAGTTTGGTTTGTTTCTTTAAGGGTTTTAGGGGGACATCAAAGTAAGGCTGAAGAGTCAACGATTGATGTCTTCATCAGAAAAAAACTACAAAGTAAATTAAAACCCTGCCTTTTTTATATTCTTGTTAATACTGACATTTTTTGATCTAAAGTCTTATGCTTTCATTAGTGCTTGCCAGTTAGTATGTTTGAAATTTAGGTTATTTTACTGTATTGATAGTTGGTTAAGATCCAAACTCAGTAACTACTTTTCCAGAAAGGTAGTGTAAGTTCATAAATCTGAAATGTTTTCATTTACCACATGAAATATAAGTAGAAAGATGATTAATCTGTTTGCAGCTGTTTTTCTTGCTGTGGACATTGACTTCATTTCTCTTTAAAATTATTAGATAGAAAAGTAAAATAATTTTTTCTTTTGCTGTTCTGGGAAAGTCTATGAGCATTTAAGGGTTCAAATATTATAGAAGTCTAAATATATGATGCCAGGGCAGAAAGCAAATACAAAAAGTTTCAGGGAAAGGAAAGCAAAGGAAATCAGGAACAAATTAGAAAAAAGATTGGTTAAAAATGATTACTACATGTCTTATATACATATACACATTTTAATTAAGCATCTGATGACTTTCCTTTTAAGGTACGACGGCGAAGTGTTAAAAGGGAACGGCGATGAACAAATGTAATTAATAACTTTCTCTGTAAAAGCTTTGGAAAAATCTTTTCTTTTTTTGGGTCAAGCTTGAGGCCGAATAAAGCCTTTGATGCACAAAATGGGACTGCTGAAGAGTGGACAGTTGGACCTTACTTTGGTGACCCCATACATTTGTGGTCACATGCTTTAGCCATACGCTTGGTAACATTGACTTTGGAGTCTTGTGAAAGTGTAATGTGCGATGGCTATGTAGACATAAAGAAGAAACTTGTAAATATTTTTTTCTTTTTTTAATGTTTCTGACTTCTAAAGTGCTTGTATAGCTTTTATCTGCGGCTTTAAACTGACAGTACCCAGCTGTTTATTGGATCTATTAATTTGAAAAGAATTTGTTAGGATAGATCTTAAGCAGTAATCTGTCAGTGTTTGTATTTGTATTCTCTGCAATTTTACTGTGAAAAAAGGTTTTTTTTTTTTTTTTTTTTCAACTTTTTTTGTCATTTTGTTGATGTCACTATTTGTTGGGGAGTTAAATGGTCTCCTCCCCTTGTGTATCTTACCTAGTGTTTACTCCTGGGCACCCTTAATCTTCAGAGGTGCTAAATTGTCTGCCATTACACCCGGAAAGATGCCTCTGATAGGAGGACAACCATGCAAATTGTGAAATAGTCCAGAAGTTGTTTGATTACTTTACACCTCAGTATTGATTGGTCCCAGAATTTTCTGGCCATTCATGGCAATGAAAATTTTAAGAAGAATGATTTAAAGTATTTTAATTTTAAAGAGTGTGTTATAAAATAATGTACTGAATTCTTTATCCCCTTTTATCTATCCCTTTCAGTTTTTATTAATCTACTGTATCAATAAAATTCTGTAATTTGAATGAGTTTTTAATAGTCTAGAATGTTATTGTGTATAGATATTTCCTCTTGAACATTATGTTCAGAAAATGCAAATTATTACACTATAATATAAAATCTGATATATACACTTAGAAAAATTTCAGCTCTCCATAATAGTGTAAAGTTAATCAGAAAGAAAAATTTTATTGATGCAGTGTGTCTTTATAAAGCTGTTCTTGAAAGCCAAGTGTTTTGTATTTTATAGTGAGTTGCATGTTTATGAAAAAAAGTGCTGAAAATGGGATGTGCTCTTTTCTGTAAATTCATGTTTAGCCATAGTATATGATAGATTGCCCCATAACATAGTTTTTCATCAAGAGTTTATTATTGTACTTTATTTTGGAGCCAAAAAACTGATTCTAGGGGGTGGGGGCAGGGTAGAAGTGGTATATCCAACTGTATCAGCTACTGTAGTTGTCACAGTCTTGTGAACTTTGAATGAAATTCCACTTTGTTCAGATTGGGAGAAGAGGAAATTTATTTGGGTTTAGAGCAGGTCTTTTTTTTCTTCATTGTAATCTGCAAAATATAGAAATAAATTACTTACGGCAGTATCATTTATACAGTTGTATAAACTGTATTTTGAACCAAAACATATAGGTTACTACTTAATGCTTACCTAAATTCATTTTAGTGTTTTAGGTGCTGTTATGTTTTTTCACGGTCAACACCAGAGGGAAAAAATCATATTCTAACTTATTAGATTTATCACATTGAATAGTGGAACATTTTCATATGATACACCATTATGTTTAAGGTATATTTCCAAGATTGGTTAGAATAGATGGGGCATATAATAAAGAAGCTACTATTTTGGAAAATGACATTTTACTATTTGCCAATGTATATTGCAATTGATGTGATTATTTTTCTTTTAAAGATTTCTTCGAGCTTATGAAACAGCCATTTATTTTTTAAAAAGTGTTTTAAATTGTGTCTTAATATCTCCATATTTAGCTATTCTTCATTTACAACAATACTGATAACAGTAATTACGAGAGACTGCTGTATATCAAAGCAGCTCAGGTTGGATCAAGATACATTGGTTTTTAAATGTTTCCTTAGCTCGGTTCTCCCAAACACATAATTTCTATTTCAGCAGTACAAAGGCATGTTTTAAAATCTATAACATAAAGAATAAGGAATAGCTTTGTATTTTTGTCATTGATTAAATTGCATCAGAAATGTTTATGGAAATATATCTTTAAGACCATTTTATAAAACATACGAAAAAATGATTGTGAAGGATTTTTATTTGCATGATCATAGTTAACCAGATTTCATTGCACATTTTTGTAATGCTAGTTCACAAAAAAAATGTTCGTTGTAGATTTTGTTATGTTCAATGCCAATGAGTCTGTAATTTTACAACCTGTCTGTTCTTTTTTTGGGTGGATTACAATGTAATTTTTTTTTTTTTTTGGGTAGAAAAATAGGTGCAATAATGATCAAAGTTTGGATGTCTTGAGTCTCCATCTTAGGGGATTATTTTACGTTTAAACTTAACATTTCATGTACTAACATTTGGAGAGCCACATACTTTACAGCAGAATTAAGTGTTTATAAAACATTAATTGCTAACAATTGTTAGCAAACTATTCAGTGATAATGTTCATTTTGAAAATATGTACTGTATAACATTAAAAAAATATTTAACTCCCTGTACAAGTTCCATTATGAAAATCCTGTTCCTCGGTGAGGTTATCTTGCTGCACTCTGTAGCAAATTCGTTTAATCTACATTATAATAAAATTTGCTGCAGTGCAACAGGAAGCTTTTTCAGTGATCTCCACTGTATATGTAAATTACAAATGTGGCTGTAAAACTTATTCCAGGTATTAAAAGTTAAATTACTTTCTATATCTTCTTATAACTTGTAAGTTTGATTTTTAAGATTTCCTGTTGTCCACTTGCAAGAATGTCAGGAATTTAAGAGTTTGTTTAAATGAGGCATATCTCTGCCACCACATAGTATTATGTCACCATAATGAACAATTGGTATTTAAATAGATAACCAATTTTCAGACACATTTTTGGATTTCTGTGAAGTTGAATAAACGTGAAAGCTAATATAACTGTATTATTTTGTTTAAATCAACATATATATTTAAATACTAAATGGAGAAAGGCACATTTGATGATTTTTAATTTTGGAGCCTTTGTTTAATGAAGTGGAAACATGTCTCAGTAACATTTTCCAAACCTTTTGTTTAAACTTCTCACGCAAAATGTTGGCAGACAGAGATTTTTCTAAGTACTATTTAAGTTAAATAATTGCATAACCGAACAAAATAAATGTATACTATAAACTTTAAAAATAAGCACTAAATAAATAAGTTGCCAGTAACAGTTTTATTAATTTGTTCGGCAAACATTTATTGAATGCCTACTGTGTACTAAGCACTCAAAATTTTTACGTATTTTTGCAAAGGATAAAGTGTGATCAGGATTAAGTCCCTGCTTTTGTGGTACTTTCATTGTGTTATAGGTGGGTGAATAAGCCAAAAAAACATATATATATATATTATACATATAATATATATATATGTATAAATTTTTTCTTTTAAACGTCAGATTGTGAAAAATGCAGTGAAAAAAAGGAAAAGCAGGATAGAGAGTATGAATGATTGGTGGAAAAGTTACTTTATAGACTTTGAAACTGTTATTTGGTACATACAATTTAGGATTGTTCTATCTTCATGATGAAGTGATAATGTTTATAATTTAAAATGCCACTTGGTATCTTCATGAATATTTTTAATCTCCTTTGCTTGATATTAATGTAGCCGTATGAGTTTTGTTTTGCTATTGTTTGCATGATAAAACTTTTTCTGGCTTTTTATTTTCAAGCTATTTGTGTTCTCATGGTTAAAATGTGTATCACGTAAACATACTTGGCCCTTCTTTCATCTGAGAATCTTTTTTTTTTTTTTTTTTTTTTTTTTTTTTTT